GCCTCAGCCTTCTGAGTAGCTGGAACTACAGGTGTGCGCTACCACGCCTGGCTAATTTTTGATTTATTGTAGAGATGAGGTCTCGCCAAGTTGGCTAGGCGGGTCTTGAACCCGCGGACTCAAGTAATCCACTCACCTCAGCCTCCCAAAGCGTGGGATTACAGGCTAAGCCACCGAGCCCGGCCTGAGCCCAGGATTTTGAGGCTGGCCTGGGCAACATAGTGCAACTCATCTCTATAAAAAAAATAATAAAAATCCCATGCTGTGATAGGGATTTGGGGGATTTTAGACATAAGGGTTTTAGAATTTAGGGATTTTGATCTTTCAGGATTTTAGCATTAGGGATTATGGAGTTTGGGATTGTGACTTTTGGAATTATAGTCCAAATCCATCTCAGAAATGTCTCCAATTTACAGCAGTCTGTCCCCCTCCTGAGCTGTGGACATGCTGGGCCCATAGTCTTCTGGCAGGACCCTTGGCGACTCCAGAGTTCCAGGGCTAATGAGAAGCAGTCGGGAGGAGGATGCAGGGTGCATGCTCTATGGCTGTGGGGTTGACTCTGCCTTTGAAGATTACCTTTTTTGGGGGATAGAATAAAAGTGATAGTCTTGTATGAGGTTATAAGGAGCCCAAATCATTCAAACTGGTTAAGAAGGGAAAATGGAGGATGTAGGAGGTGGAATTTATTTTCACTCATAACTGAAAACGTCAAGCATGTCTGGCTTCAGGCACAGCTTGTTCTAGAAGTTTTAATCAATTGTCATAAAGACCAGGTTTCTTTCTCCAACTGCTGGCCCCACCTTCCTCTGTGTTAGCCCCATTCTCATGCTGGAATTCATGCAGCAGCATGGAAGAAGGGAGAGTAGAACAGCTACTTACCTCTAGCTCCCCCCCACACTCTCCACCGATTCTCTTTTAAAGTGACTTCTGGTCAGACATGGTGGCTCACGCCTGTAATTCCAGCAGTTTGGGAGGCCAAGGCAGGAAGATTGCTTGAGCCTAGGCTTTTAAGATCAACCTGGGCAACATAGTGAGACATCATTTCTACACAAAATAAAACAAATCAGTTGGGTGTGGTGGCATGTGCCTGTAGTTCCAGCTACTTGGGAGGCTGAGGCAGGAGGATTGCTTGAGACCAGGAGGTTGAGGCTGTAGCGAGCCTCACTCCAGGCTGGGTGAGAGAATGAGAGCCTGATTTAAAGAAAAATACAATAAAATAATAATAAGAGGATAAATAAGGTGATAAAAAATCAGCTTCACAGAAGTCTCACATACCTCCACGTACACCTGCCCCAGCTGGGGGCTCTGCTCTTGGTCCATCTCCCCTTTGCCCTGCAAGGCTGGAAGGGCCCAGAGCACCCGAGGTCCATTCCAGGTTCCTCTGTTTGGCATCTGTGGGGAATGGGGCTGGCAACATATCCATGTGGCATGTCACCATGTGACCGTTCTAGTTTAACACCCAGTGGCTGTTCTGATTAGCATGGATGTGGCTGGCTGTGTTCCCCACTGTTAAACAATTTGGCTCTCAGCCCTCTTATAGGAAAGGGCTGAGGAGCTACGATTGGATGTGGCGTCAAAGGGGACTTAGGCTCATTCTCAATGTTTTAGTTACTTTTTTTTTAATAAGGAGAAGACATTTATGTATTGCTCTATAATTAAAAATTATTCTAAAAAATGTACTGGACTCAAAAGCCTACATATTTATGATTCCAATTAGATGACATTCAAGAAAAAGGCAAGATGATAGGGACCGAAATCAAATTAGTGATTACTAGCTGGGTGTGGTGGCTCGCGCCTGTAGTCACAGTACTTTGGGAGGCCAAGGTGGGAGGAGTGCTTGAGGACAGGCGTTCGAGACCAGCCTAGGCAACATAGTGAGACTTTGACTCTACAGAAAATATTTTTAAAGAAATTAACCGAGCGTGGTGGCACATGCCTGTAATCCCAGCTACTCAGGAGGCTAAGGTGGGAGGATCACTTGAACCCAGAAGGTTGAGGCTGCGGTGAACCATAATCATGCCACTGTACGCCAGCCTAAGCAGCAGAGCTAGACCTCAACTCAAAACAAAGAAAACATGTACTGGACTCAAAAACCTACATATTGTATGATTCCAATTAGATGACATTCAAGAAAAAGGCAAGACTATAGGGGCAGAAGCCAAATTAGTGATTACTAGCCAGGCACAATGGCTCATGCCTGTAATCCCAGCACTTTGGGAGACTGAGGTGGGAGGACTGCTTGCAGCCTGGAGTTCAGGACCAGCCTTAGCAACATAGTGATACCTCATCTCTTTTTTTTTCTTTTTTTGTCAGAGTCTCAGTCTGTTGCCTTGGCTGGAGTTCAGTGGCATGCTCATGGCCATTGCAGCCTTGACCTGATGGGCTCAGGCGATCCTTTTGCCTCTACCTTTCAAGTAGCCAGAACTACAGGCACGTGCTCCCATGCCTGGCTGATTTTTTGATTTATTGTAGAGATGAGGTCTCACCAAGTTACCCAGGCTAGTCTAAAACCCCTGGACTCAAAGAGTCTTCTCACCTCAGCCTCCCAAAGTACTGAGATTACAGGCTTGAACCACCGTGCCTGGCTGAAACCTCATCTCTTAAAAAAAAAAAAAAAAGCTGCAGTTATTCCAGCCCTGGACTCACCTCAGAACCAACATGGCAGTGATCTTTTATTGCCAGTTTTCCATGCTGAGATTTTTTTTTTTTTTTTTTTTTTTGAGTTAGAGTCTC